ATGCATTGTTTTCCATTCTTCCAAATCTGATATTATATCTTGAAGTTGCTCAATCAATGTTTTATGATCGTTGGAGCACATTTGGAGTGAATATGTTCCAAATATGGTAAGTGATTCAATGACTTAGCACAAGCGGTTGGAACCTCTACTATTTTCTTCATTGGATAGTAGCTTCCCTGGTCTGCACCTTGCGATTTAGGGGTTGGAACCTAGACAGTTTCCTCCAATTCTACCTAAAAATAGAAATATCGAGGGTTCTAGACCCTATGGTAGGGGTTGGAACCTCAACTTATGACATAGTTTCTATTTTTGTTATTCAAAACAAAAGGAATATACTGAATAGATAATCATACAATTAAATAGGCTTCCAATATAAACGGAAACACATTCAAAACATAATATTTGGGAATTCATGAAAATCAATTTAATATCACTAGGAATAAGTTGAGTATATATATACTTCAATTCACATTTGGTTTTCAAATCATCAAAATCAAGAATAACAGTTTTTATTGTTGAACCTAATGCTTCAAAAACTTGATCACCTTTTGATGATATCTTAATACATGTATATATGAATTTGAAAAAGAATTATCTGAATTAGGTAAATAACAATACAAATTGTGTTAAATTATGAAATCGAGAGATAATTAGTGTTATATGTAATAGTGGAGAAAATGAAAAGAGTTACTAGCTCTCTCTTTTTAAGGTAGAGGTTTCCACATTATTTAATGCTTATCAGTTTATTTTAAATTATATAAAGATGTGACTAATTTAACATGTGAAAGATGGATTGACTTGGTTTAAAAAAACTAGTTAGTTAATTAAGGAAAACCTACCATCACATGTAATAATACTCAATTAATCGGTTTTGAAAGCATATTAGTTTGGAATTTATATTGATTAATTATGGTGAATGTTGATGCTTTAAGATCTCACATCTTGATTAACTTTTATTTTAATTGTTTTTTTCTTTTAGTTATTTTTAGTTATAATTTTTTTGACTATTTAAATAAATTTAAGATTAATTATTTTGGTACTTAGTTAATCAATAATTCTTGTGGAATCAACACTCTACTTATCATTATATTATTTGAAGCTATTAATACACTTATTAAAATAAATTTAACACATCAATAGTTCATACTGTATCAAACCACATAATTTAATCCATTGGATGGGGTGAGACCTTAACTTTGGGAGCCCACTCCCAAATGCTAATTTATTGAAACAGTAATGTTTTGTACAGTTCATATTGAGTCTAACTGTGGAAGAACTTATTGAATGTGATGTCATCTTCCCAACAAAAAAATAATATTTTGTATTATAATATAGATTGTTACAAAGAAAAAGTATTCAGTATATGAATTAGAGTTGATTCAATTTCAATACATATAATTAATGTTGGATGGAACATGGACACAAAGGATTTTTAATTAGAAAAATAATTAGTCCATTTTTCGATTCAATACATTTACTAATATCTACCAATTTAGTCATTAAACTATGTAGTTAAAATTTTTTCTACCTTAAATTTAAATTTAAAAATAATAATTTTTTAATAAATAGATTATAAAATATAGTAAACCATAGAGTAGACCTTGAGCAAGAGTACCACTTGTACTCCATATAATAAAATTTTATTTTGCTAATAAAAAAAAAATCATAAAGTATACCAATCATTATCCTTCTAATTAAAAATGAGTTTTGAAAAAGTTAAATTGGATTTTTAGCCTCTAAACTTTTAATTTTAAATATTTTTAATCTTTGACTTATTTTTGCACTTTTTAATCCCTAAATTATGACAAAATATATTTTTTTGTTCATTTTCTTAGTTTAATCTATTAAATCTATTTATATATGTACATTTTTAGCAATTGAATTTATAATATAGTTTGTCCATGAATGCATATATGCATTTTAAATATTCTAAGTTCATGAATTAAAAAGACACATATATAAACAGATTTAATAGAGTAAACTTTTAAAAAGATAAAAAAAAGGTTATTTTATTTTTAAAAAATAAAAGAGTACAAAAATTAGTTTAGAAATTAAAAGTATTCAAAATTAAACATTCAAAAACTAAAAATAAAATTTAAACTTTCGGAAATGGCCAGTAGTTCTTCACAAAAAGTAGAAAAAAAAAA